CATCAGATAACCTTAGGAATTTTTGACACAAGTATTGAAAACTAGCATTCTCTTTATCCAATGCCTTAATAAATTGTTTCATCATTCCAAGTGTTGAAATTACATTTAACATGTCCTATCTGCTAAATACTAGGTAGACACTCTCTGTATAAACCTCCACTTTTAGCAAACAAAAATAATAAAGTACTGAATAGTCACTCCCTGTGTAAACTAATTATCTAAACTTGTGAAACAACACGCTTGACTTTCAAATGACCGCCGGACACCTGTTATGTCGCAAAGACACCTGTTATGGCACAAACAATTAATATGATCACGTACGCAATCATGCGATCTGGGACGGCCAATGAGAAAAAAGCCGGTAAAACCGTCGCGGGCTGGCGGGCTTGCATCGAAAAAAAAACTTCCACTTTCGTTTCGACAGTCAAACTAAATACATCACAAACCTTGACAACGCCGGCAGCAAGCCGAAAATTAAGTTAAAGCATTTGTGCGATTTGATTTAAAAAAGTTGTAACATGTAATCAATTAATAATTTATGTAACCAAGTAATATTATGTAAAATGTGGAATCAGTAAGCCGTCAATATATCAAATTCAAATATAGGGTGATAGTTTCATTTGAATAAAATCAGTGCATCATCCAGAACTTCGAGAGTATCTTACAGAGGCTATAGGGTGGAGCATAAGGCCTTCACCCCAGGTAACATATTTCGAACATAGTCATACAGTCCACCATGATCGAAGGCAGTAAATGTCAAGCCTTATAAACCCAGGGTAAGACACCAAGTTTAATAAAAAATTTTTAGGATCAATTAAATTTTTTCGTATAACATTTTTGGTTCCAGGTTTAAGATTTTTACGAGGATTCCATTGTTTTTGTATGTAGTGCTTGTGCTCTACTATCCCACTCACACAAAAAACAAGGATATTTTGTGTGTCCTGACTGTTGGCCTAACAACAAAGATATAATCTTCAGATCTCCACAAAGCTGCCAACCATGTTTTTTATATCCAATTTTATCCAGTACTTTCTCCAAATTTTCATATATCTTTTAAATGAACAGAGTGAGAGGGAGGAACAGAAGCATACTGATTAGAATTGTGTAAAAGAACACCTTTCAAACTCCGTTTCGAAGAATCTATGAAAAGTCTCCAGGCTCATATTGCCCCCCTAACTGTCCAATGAGACCCGGAATATTTTTACAATAAACCAATGATTCTTCCTGACTGAAAAAAGTTACAAATTCTTTTTTACGTTTTCTATACCAAGCAAAATGTGTATTAGGATCTAACAGGTGTTTTGCATGAAGTGTAGACCCTAGAAGTTGAGCAGATTCTTTAGACAAACTTAAATCTCTAACCAAATCATTTAATTCACCTTGAGTAAATCTCTGTGGCTGATTTAGGATTTATTCAAAAACTTCTGTTTACTCTTGACGCTGTAGATTTTGTTCTGACGATGTCGAACTAAGATCAGAAATTGAGGTTGGAAGGGGCACTGAAATGTCTGGGCCGTGTGGAATCGGACGTGTAACTGATGTTACATTTGCGTAGACTATTTTATTTTTATTTTTAGCATTAAAACCTTTGACATTAGTACAGCAAAAATAACAATCAACAATATGATTAGTCTGCTCCCTCCATATCATAGGTCTACCAAATGGCAGAGAATGTCTTTTAAAATTTGTCCACTGCCTCAATTGCTCAACACAAATAGTACAAACTAACTGCGGAGTCCACGATTTTATTTGTATTTTGAAACCAAAATAATCGTTATACGTATTTTCTACAAACTCACTAATTTTCTGTTTCTGCTTCGAAGTCATAAAGTTTCCACAGATGTAACAAAATGTGTCCGCACTATTATGACACTTTCTTAAAGACATTCTGTTTTTTACAAGTTTTTTTAATCACAAATCACTAATAACATTCATTAAATACCAAGAGTAAAACGTAAACAATTTTCTCAAATAAACACTCTAATTTCAGTAAAAGATGTGTAAATAAAATAATAGTCCGTCAGATAGTGACAGGTTTAGGTGCCCCATTTTCACATGCAAGCCTCGAAGAGGTTTGAAAAGTACATCGATTTTAAGTAGAATTAAAGAAAATGTATAAGTGGCTGCTGGGGTTAACACATGGAAAATTCGATTTTTCCTAACAAAAACGAAAGGTTATTTGTTGCCCATTTTTCCACGCAAGCCGTTTTCACTATATGATTAATTAATAGAACTAGGCTTAGGAAAACCAAAGGCTTTAATGTTGCAAGTGGCTAAAGGGTTGAAATAAGGGCGTAATCTTCTAAGGAAAAATCGAGATTTTGCCCAATTTTTCCACACAAGCCCATCGAATGTATGAAAACGTACGTCGTCACTAGTCCGAAAAACATATTTTCTTGAATGACCCGAATGTATAAGTGCATTTTGGGGTCGGAAAATTTTTCTGATAAGGAAAATCGAATTTTCCATGTGTTATCCCCAAGAGCCACTCGTAAATTTTCTTTTATTCTACTCAAGATCGATGTACTTTTCAACCCTCTTCGAGGCTTGTATGCGAAAATGGGGCACCTAAATCGGTCACTATCTGACGTTCTATAACTGAGATGGCTTATTTTCATGTGACGCGTTTCAAATGAGTATGTTGCGGTTGCAACTAATATATTTTCCCACGAGAGGTCGCACTATTTAAGGAAAGAGCGCCAAAACTCAATAATTTAATTTCTTTTTATTAAAAAATATAAAATATCCAAGATATCAAGTTTACTGAAAACCTGATGTGATACGATAAAATTACGTCTGAATTCGTAATCAGCACTACAAAATTGGTGGAAAAAATTAGTAATATCTTGAACGAGGAAAATCATGTCGGCCGGTGATTAGCAATTACTATAGATATCCATTATAAGGTAGTACAGGATTAGATGTTATTATTTTTATGAAATTTAAAGGTACAAGATTTTTTTACTCAAAGGTGTAGAAAGATTCTTTTGAGGATTCCTTAAGAATTCTTTTCAACCAAAATTGACAAATATGTGGTCTAGCAGACCTAATAGCGGACTTATCAAATTAACTGCGTTGACAGTGGACATGTTGACAGTCTAGAAGGCAACGTTCTAGGTTAACGGTGGAATCTCCAAAACATAAAAATTGAGATTTTCTGTTTAGTTTAAATTAAAAAAAAAAAACAAACAGGATCAGATGATGTGTACATCTTTGTTAAAAGTGTACCATCGTTGGGACACAGTAAGTATACAAAATCTTGCGGCTATTAAAGATTAAACAATAAAACAATGAAAATAGATGGGACAAGGAGACAAGGATTATGTATCAGAGGAACCCAATGAGAACTTACATTGTATCAGTAATATCTAGTCCTCACTACAAGCTATAATAACAAATCGAAAAAATTGAAAGTTCAGAAGCAGATCGAGTTGTGATAGCTCCGTATATTATTAACTGCGTAGAAGAAAACACACAATGGCTTATGACATGTATAATCAATAAATGCGTTTAGATTGTCAAGATCTTGAGTCCACTTTTCTTTCCACCAAAAATGGATCGGAAACACTAGAAGTTGAAACAGATGCATCAGAATTTGCCATAGCAGCCACTCTTTTACAATTTGGTAAACCAGCAGCTTTCTCCTCAAAACCGCTTAGTGGCAGTGAGAAGAGTCATTTTTCAATTGAGAAAAAACTTATGCTATAGTGGAAGCTAGTCTCAAATGGGGACATTTGCTACTAGGTAGGCAATTTCAACTTGTGATTGATCAAAAGAGCGTTTGCTTTAAGTTTGATAGCAGATCCCTTGAAAAAATTGAAGACGACAAAATCTTAAGGTGGCGTCTGGAATTATCTCCTTTTAGTTTCGAGATTGTTTGTCATCCTGGAGTTTTGAATAGAGCAGCTGACGCGATTTCGCGAGTATGGGTCTCCATCGATAGTAAAATCAACTTACATGAAATCCATGTATCACTACGCCACCCGAGAATTACCCGTGTGTACCACTGGTTAAGTTCTAAGAATATTCCAGCCTCTTTAAACGAGGTTCAACAATTGATAGCGTCTTGGTAAATTTGTTGTTATAAGATTAATTAATTAATCTCAAGGTGTTTACCTGTAACGAAGTCAATTTTTCCTTGATCACTTTATTTAAATTTATCATTTTTACTAAATAATAAACGCGCTCGAATTGCTTGCCCTAGGCTAAAACAGCTGCGCACCGCCGATAGAAATATCGATGCGCGGTAGTACTGGTCGTTGGTGGGAATTTCTTTCGGTTTTGTCGCGAATTAAAAGGATTTGGAGAGGCACTTGATTTTGGCCAGTTAAAAGTAGTAGCCGTATTTAAATTAGGTCCGCCGTTGATAAATTTTTCGTATCGTGTTTATTAATCCGATAGGGAAAAAAATATACCACTCTGTACGTTGTGTATTATTGCTGATCGACATCGGTACGGGGATTCACAGTGACCGGCTGGAGCGTCGGCATATTCACCTACTCCAGGGTTGCCAGGTTGGGGGATTTTCCCCAAAAATTAGGGGATTTTTCATCTTCTTGGGGATTTTTTGAGGTTTTTGTTTTCTAGGGGATTCTTCTGGGGACAAACTATTGCGTTGGGGATAACAGGGGTTTTTTTAAATAATATTATGATATTATAAATAACAAAAAATATATGGCTTATTTATTATTGCATTGTACAAGCAGAGCCATCTATTTTTGTTGAGTTAAAATAAATTAATACACTAGCGGTATAGCGAAGCTTACCCTACCGACCTAATTTGTCTTGAAAGACGTTGATATGAGAACCCCCTCTTGAAACCGGGATTCCCCGATTCACATTTAGCGTTTGTTAACGAATTGAGTTGAATTGTATATAATAAAAATAATGGCGAATAAGTAAAGAAGTGTTTGGGAGCAAAATAGTGAATTAAGGGTTAAGTTTTATCTTCGGTTTAATATTCGTATACCAATTATAGTATATTTTTAATAGGATGGCTTATGCCGGACCCTGAAGACGATAAAAGGGGTTTTTGTAAAGTTCGCAAGTGTTCATTAATTGCATATAAGGAAGATCTTTTGTTGCACAGAAAATCAAGAAAGCATCTTGAGTCTGAGAAAAAATATAACGCTGGTCCCACCAAAAAAATTATTCAGTTTTTGACGACTAATATTTTAAAGAAAAGAAAAGTCGCAGAATTGAAAGTAGCTGCTTTTATTGCGGAGCATTGTTCCACAAGAACGGCAGTTCATTTAAGTGAATTACTTAATAGTCTAGATGATAATTCCGAATTACTCAAGGGAGTAAAATTTCATCGAACGAAATGTACTGCCTTAATCTTAAATGTTATTAGTCCATGCTTGTTGGAAGATCTAATCCTTGATGTTGGAAATGAAAATTATTCTTTGATAATTGATGAAAGCACGGCCATCGACTGTACCAAAATGATGTGTCTTATGATTAAATATTATAGCAAACTCAAAAGAAAAAGAATTACGACCTTCTACAGATTAATGGAAATTACTGTAATAATTGGCATTATTATTTCTAAAATATAAAGAATTTAACAAAAATCCCAAAAATATCTAATATTTTTAATCTATTAAATTAACACAACATATTTATTAAAACCAAACAATTAGAAATAGTTCATTGTACTAGAAAATTAAAGGACAAATCGTGCGAATAATCATTAAAAATAAATAAGTAGTTTCTTTTTAAAAAAATCACGTTAAGGTTGATATAAATAGAGTCAATCGTTGACACAAAAAGACTCAAGGGGCGGCCGTTGGGCCAAACTTATGCCCAAAAATGTAACTTAGTAATTATTAGTATTTATTATATATAGTAAAGTGTGTGTGTAGTGTTTTAGTTTCAAAGGTAATATCTATTTTATTTTAACATGTTTAAATCTCTTGTTTGGGTTATGTATTTTAAAACAGTTCATTAGTCTTTCTTCAAATGCCAATTCTTTCATTTTCGTCCCAAGTTTATTTATTAAATGTTTATCAGTTTTAAGGGTTTTATCATATAAAGAGTTTTTTTTATTATGGTAAAAAGTTTTTGTGATGTAAAATGTTTCATTTTATTAAAGTTTTATCATAGATTATATTCTATTAACATGGTTTATCATAATAAAGATTTTACAATTATGAGTAGTAATTTTTGCTATGTCTTATTTCAAAAATAGAGATTGTTTTGATTTATTGAAATTTGGTATTCATTTTTTACTTATATTTAAATATACGTGTTATTGTTTAGTAACCTATTTTATTCTCACCTCTTTCCAAAAACCAGTAAGAAATATTCCGAGCATGTTAAGCCTCGGCGTTCCTACCCTTAAGGACTTGAGAGTCTTAAGTCAGTTGCCAAAACCGCTCGACATATGCTATTAAGGGATGTTTTTTTTGTATTTTTATTATTTTCTTTTATTATTTTATTTTGCCACTGGCGAATGGATGTTCCTTCAGGACTCCAGGACCCTAGGGCTGGTGACAAGCGCTGCCTTTATCCCTTAAATAGTATAGTAACAGTAGCTAAAGACCTATCAGTAGTTACAAATGGTCTTTAGGATTAACTGGTTGTTACATTTGGTGACAGCGGTGGGATTTAGGCTAACCGGTTGTTACATTTGGTGACAGCCACTTAGCGTTCCACAAAGAGGAAATGGTGGACAATTGGATCGAGGCATTTTTCCGATCAACCCAAGATGAGTCCTAGAGGAATGGGACAAACAGAAGAAAGAAGAAAAGAATAGGAGCCACTTAGCGTTCCACAAAGAGGAAATGGTGGACAAATGGATCGAGGTATTTTCCGATCGACCCCAAGCGATGTCCTAGAGAAATGGGACAAACAGAAAAGAGAAGAAAAGAATAGGAGCCACTTAGCGTTCCACAAAGAGGAAATGGTGGACAAATGGATCGATGCATTTTCCGATCAACCCCAAGCGATGTCCTAGAGGGATGGGACACACAGAAGAAAGAAGAAAAGAATAGGAACCACTTAGCGTTCCACAAAGAGGAAATGGTGGACAAATGGATCGAGGCATTTTTCCGATCAACCCCAAGCGATGTCCTAGAGCGAGGGGACAAACAGAAGAAAGAAGAAAAGAATAGGAGCCACTTAGCGTTCCACAAAGAGGAAATGTTGGACAATTGGATCGAGGCATTTTTCCGATCAACCCAAGATGAGTTCTAGAGGGATGGGACAAACAGAGAGATGCAGCGTTACGAGGAGCCACGGAGCTACCAGGTGAATAGAAGAAGAATTAAAGCGAAATTGAAGAGAAGAGTAAGAAGAGAGTAAAAGTTATAATAGGTAGTATAGTATCACGATATTTATTGGAGTAATATAAAATAGCAGTTAGAGTAGAAGGTAGTAAATAGTAAATTAAATTTTAAATTAATAAGGGGAAAGTTTTAAATTACGAGTAGATCAATAAGGGTAATTATTATTAATATAGAATAAATTAAATTAGGTATAATTTTAAAAAAAGGATTATTTCAATCTACGCTTATGTGCTTTTAACAAACGGGTGTTTATTACATGAATCGAATTTTGTTTATTTTGTATTGGCCAGCAAAATAGATGAAGAAAATGATTTTTTAATAACATACCAGCTTATATTATTAATTTAGTTTCGAAAACAAAAATGAACAGAAACGCAAAATTATAAGGTTTTATTAGATTAAAAAAAATAATGACTAAAGAAATGCTGGAGAAAAATTTATAAATTTTTGATTTTGAAGAACTAGGAAATGCTTCCGAATCAGTAAACTATTCGAGTTGACTGCTTTAAAAAAAAAATTATATTTATACTATAATTACGAGAAAGTAATGTTTATAAAAAAATATTTTCTAGTTCAGTAAAAATAAATAAGTCGAATAAGTAAAACATATTTGTTTTCGAAATATTAAATGTGCTTTTGGGAAAACTAATATAGAAATTTTATTAATGGTATTATACAAACCTAAAATGTAAATAATGTTTTCATAGGGTAACCAGAAAGGACGTTGCCACTGCACAAGAAAGAAGAAACAGAAGAAAGAAGAGGAGATCAACACCGTACTACCTTTGCCAAATTCACCATCAACACCAACCCCCAGGAAAATCCATATCCAGGACCGTACCAAGGCATTCCAGGGTCCTATGACGTATTACAGGACTCCAGAGAGGGATCGCTTTTCAACCCAGGTCTACAAAGAGACTGCTACATCCAAGGGACCAGAGAGGATCTATATGAAATGGACTAAGGTTCAATGAAAGAGACCATTCCCAAATACATCCAGGGCAAAGATGTTACAGGGTTCACCAAAAGTTGAGGGGTCAAAAGAATTGTTCAGAGGAGAATCTATACAGAATGGCTAAGGTTCAAAGAAAGAGCCATTGACAGATGCATCCGCTGAAGAAAAGCTGACAGGGACATGAGAAAGTAATGGGCCAAATCGAACAACCAGAAGGATCTACCATTGAATAGCTAAGGTTCAATGAAAGAGCTATTCCCAGATAAATCCGGTTAGAGAAAGTGGGCCCACAGAATAATTCATGTCATGACGACCCAGACAACGAAGCCAGAATCGCCAACCAGTACTTGCCAGCCAGTCCGTAGCAGCAGTCTCACAGTAGCAAATCCAGAGAGGCCGTTCAGAGCAGAGAGTCAACAGAGGACCCAAGGCCGCAGTCTATTAGTAAATGGATAGACTATTTCAACAGGACCGTGAAGCAGCCGAGGACCAAACGACTTCATGTGTAACCAATCTATGGAGGTCAAGGAACAGGGGATGATGTGAGGTGACCACCAGAGTGCAAAGGGTAGTTACGGCCAGCCAATTAAGAAGACCAAAGAAGACGCAACTTGTGCAGTGAAGCTAGCGTAAGGTTACCATATATATTGTAGATAATTTTTAAAATTTTTGTAAATTATTTACATTAAGGGTTTTTAAAAAGAATTGAACAAGTATAGTTCAATTTTTTTTTTGTCGGGGGAATAATGTAATAATTGGCATTATTATTTCTAAAATATAAAGAATTTAACAAAAATCCCAAAAATATCTAATATTTTTAATCTATTAAATTAACACAACATATTTATTAAAACCAAACAATTAGAAATAGTTCATTGTACTAGAAAATTAAAGGACAAATCGTGCGAATAATCATTAAAAATAAATAAGTAGTTTCTTTTTAAAAAAATCACGTTAAGGTTGATATAAATAGAGTCAATCGTTGACACAAAAAGACTCAAGGGGCGGCCGTTGGGCCAAACCTATGCCCAAAAATGTAACTTAGTAATTATTAGTATTTATTATATATAGTAGTGTGTGTGTAGTGTTTTAGTTTCAAAGGTAATATCTATTTTATTTTAACATGTTTAAATCTCTTGTTTGGGTTATGTATTTTAAAACAGTTCATTAGTCTTTCTTCAAATGCCAATTCTTTCATTTTCGTCTCAAGTTTATTTATTAAATGTTTATCAGTTTTAAGGGTTTTATCATATAAAGAGTTTTTTTTATTATAGTAAAAAGTTTTTGTGATGTAAAATGTTTCATTTTATTAAAGTTTTATCATAGATTATATTCTATTAACATGGTTTATCATAATAAAGATTTTACAATTATGAGTAGTAATTTTTGCTATGTCTTATTTCAAAAATAGAGATTGTTTTGATTTATTGAAATTTGGTATTCATTTTTTACTTATATTTAAATATACGTGTTATTGTTTAGTAACCTATTTTATTCTCACCTCTTTCCAAAAACCAGTAAGAAATATTCCGAGCATGTTAAGCCTCGGCGTTCCTACCCTTAAGGACTTGAGAGTCTTAAGTCAGTTGCCAAAACCGCTCGACATATGCTATTAAGGGATGTTTTTTTTTGTATTTTTATTATTTTCTTTTATTATTTTATTTTGCCACTGGCGAATGGATGTTCCTTCAGGACTCCAGGACCCTAGGGCTGGTGACAAGCGCTGCCTTTATCCCTTAAATAGTATAGTAACAGTAGCTAAAGACCTATCAGTAGTTACAAATGGTCTTTAGGATTAACTGGTTGTTACATTACCTCAGGAGATGCTTTGACATTAGCTGAAACAATGAGGAGTCAACTTCTTAAAGACAGTCTCCCAATGGAAAACTTAATTGGGATTGGCGTAGACGGTGATAATGTCATGGTTGAAAAACACATGACATTTTTCGACTCTTGTTAAAAGCTATGAAAAATCGAGATTTAGTGGTAATTAAGTGTGTTTGCCACTTTCTCCACTTGGGTGCTGAGCATTCTTTTAAATCACTTCCCAAACATTTAGATTTTTTAATAAAAGAATCTCACAACTGGTTTAGTTGCAGTTCTAAGCGTCATATTGAATATAAAAAATTGTATTAAGTAATGAATGAAGTAGCGCCAACAAAAATTGATAAATTAAGTGGAACTAGATGGTTGGCACGTTTTAATGCCATAAATAAAATATTGGATCAGTGGGATGTTCTAAAACATCACAACAACTTTTTGAGATGTTAGATGATAAAAAAAATAATTACCTGTACATGGTTTTTCTGAAGAAAACTCTGAGAGAACTAACTGCCCTTAATACAGCTTTCCAAAGTGACCAAGCTAATTCTCTTAAATAAATGGAAGACCTCTTGCACTTGCCCAGGAATTACTTACACCTCCAATGCGTCTTGAAAAAGTTCTTGATAAAGATATATTTCCTTTTAATTTCAAGGACTACGTCATGAGTGCAACCATTATCAATTTTGGTTACTCATTTCATGAAGCACAAGTGGGACTAGAGAGGAACGATGTATCCTGCGTCCAAGAAAGGTGTAGACATTTTTTAATTGAACTTTGTTACCAAATTCAATCTCGATTACCGTCCAACATTGAAGTTCTCGAAAAAATAAACTTGTTTACTCCTGAAAACAACTTTAGCTACCAGCTTCAAGTCATTAATCAATGAGGATGTTGATGCTACTGTCAGCGAATGGAATGCTCTTCATCGAGTAGAATGGGAGCATCCAGAAACAGCTGAATCTTTTTGGGTTGAAGTATCCGAAAACAAAAATGCCTTGGATGCAAATCGGTTTGAAAGGATATCTAAATTAGCACTAGCTCTTCTTCCGCTACCATTTTCCAATGCTACTGTGAAAAGAGCATTTTCACTTGCAAATCTGATTAAAGAGAAGTTGCGAAACCGACTAGCAATTAGTAGTGCAGAGTCCATAATTAGACTGCGGTTCCATCTTATGAACAACGGTTGTATCAATTTTGTGCCAAGTGAAAATATGTTAAACAAATTTAATGCTAATATGTATAATACTAATAATCGAGAAGAAAATGAAGCTATATTGAATATATTTGCCGAAATTAATAATTAATCATAATTCTTATAAGTATTATTATATCTTATCCTGTATCTTATTCTTATTATATTTTTATGTAGGTACCTATATAGTATATAGGAGACAAACTATGAGAGATCAGCAAATAAAAGTTGTTGATCTCCTTTACTTATTATGCTTTGTTCTTGCTATATTACCTATCTATCTATTCCTTGTGAATTTGTAAAAATTATTTGGCATTAAACTTCAGGAATGTAATTTTATTGTGATGCACTACATGTTTTGCGCATGCGTGAAAATTATTTGTATAAAAAAATAATTCCTAATTTATTCGAAAAAATCAGCAGACAAAAAAAATTTAGGGGATTTTTTTTCAAAAGGCCGAAATTCAGGGGATTTTAGAACTTCGATTGAAGAATTTCAGCTGACCGATCTGGCAACCCTGACCTACTCAGACAGTAATACTTAAACTCCCATTGAGATGGAATGTATATGTAATATATTTCACGAAAATATTAATAATTATAACGTGTAGAGTGTTATTTTCACATCCCGATCACACTTGTTTTAGTTTTTATAGAAGAAACGTTTTATATTTAGACCGCATTTAGTTTAATTTAAAAACCGAAATAGGAACATTTTAATTTATTGTTGAAAATATTTAAGGAATGTAACTTTTCTTCTTGTTAGTCTCAGACCGGTAATTTAATTTGATTTAATTAATAAATATTAGTAGTTAGTTCTTTAAAAATAGAATATTGTTTTTTAAAGTGAAATGAATTTGATTTAAATAATAAATGTTAGGATTTACTTCTTTAAAATTATAATATCGTTGATTTAGACATTTGGTAGTTAGTCTGACCTAAGAAATTACAATTTTCTTTTTGATAGGTTAAATCGGGATATAAATTTGATTTCATTGATAAACACTTTTGTTTAGTAAGTGCCGCGACTTATAAGTCTCTCGTTGAGAGGAATGTTTTTAAAAAGAATTTTTATTGCTATTGCTTGAATAAAAACCCAAAATAAATTATATTTAATATTTAATGGTAATGTTGTCGTTACAAGCTATTATATCAGACTAACTTTATTTTATTAAAATGTTACTATGAAAAAAAGTTAGAGTCAGCAATTCACACACTTCACATAGACAGGTTCAGTAACACTGCCGGCAACCCGATACCGTTTTCCTGTAAAAGGTATATGGGGTCATCGATCATAACTCCTCAACCCTTGGACCTTGGCATATTTTACGGAGTGAAAAATGCCCTTGGAATTGGATTGGGGGCTTCAAGTGGTTGACTTTCTTCTATAGCTTCTTCTTCTTTTTTAACTTGGGATGTCGGTAAATTTGGTTTTTTCTTATCTCTTATAAATTTAATGGTGGCATAAACTATGACAACTCCTAATAATAAATACATTATAATATTTAAAGGATTTACTGAATAATTGTTTTTGAGGTGGTGCAATATTATTGGTTTTATTTGATTCTGTCTCGCTTGAATTAAATGAATTTCATCAAGAGGTTCATCTTTTAAATTAATTTCTGCTATTTCTTCTGTATTTCTGGAGTACGGGATGGTTATCTCTGGTAGCAATAGGGGTTGGCCCATTGACATAAAATTTTCATTGGTAAAAATTTTGTTTTCAATTTTAATTTGGCATTGGTACGGTATAAAAATTAAATAATTTCCTTGAAGTATAGTAAAATCGGTCCTACCACATTTAGTTTCGATTTTAGTTTTATTCACAAAAATACCAATATAGTGTGATTGGTCAATTTGTTGGATAACATTCCTTGATACTTTGATTGGCGTTCTCTGGCATCCCCTGGTATTGGATTGCAATTGGAGCAACTGAAATATGCAATCCTCTGTTTCGATTCCATCGGCTAGGTCATCATCAGTACAGTAGTAGTTGGTTTTCAGGTTGATACATGGTAGCGATGTGTATTGGTAGAGGTTTTCGTTCATCATCAGATGGGTATTACGAGGAATTATAGTTGTGGAATTTAAGGTAGGAATTGAATAAAGGTGATAGTATGAAAAGTTTTCAGGAAAAACTATGGGAAAATGGAGAGCGAAAACGATCTTAGAATCAGAATAATAAGCATATATTTTTAGAATTTCATAGTATTTGTAAGTATCGTTGATTGAATTTGTAAAAAGAAGTTCGTCTATCGAATGGTACTTTAAAACAGTTTTTATAACTGATTTTATCTCTTCTGGTTTTATTATGCTAGGATGTAAAACTCCTAATCGTGCAAAGGTTACAGAATTTTCTATTTCTCCTAAAAGTTGAATAATGATGCCTAAACTTAAATTTAGTTGATCTAAAATATTTCGAGTTTGTAAGTAATCATTAAATTGAAAAACAAATTGATTTAAAGCAGTTCGAATTCTTTCTATTCCTGCACATATTACTTCTTGATTACTTTTTATTAAAGATATTGTTTTGTTAAAATTTTGAATAATATCTTTTGTAAGTGAAATTTGTTGATTTACTTTTTGTACAATTTCCAATTCATTGTTTTGAAGATCAGAAATGGCTTGATCATAATGAAATGCATCATTTGCATCTAAATTGCCAGAAATACTTTTAATTATAGAACCTAAACCATCAATAAGACCACGTTTTACTCTACTAGGAGGCATTAGGGAATTTAATTTGTTATCTGCTAATGTTAATTGATAAAGAAGTGCTCGATCAAAATTTTCTAACTCTATATGATAAGGGCTGCTAAGCTTATCTTGAATGGCATCAGTTACATTTTTGTAAGCAAATTTTAAAATTTCAATTTCATCTTTTATAGGTGCTAAATCATAATAATGAAGAAATGTATGTACCGTTGATTTTACTTTAGCTGTGCCTAAAAGATAGGGAAGGATACCAGAATTATTAATTAGGTTCGTCAATTGTATCTCTTGAGGCCTTACTTGTAGAGGGACCAGGATCATTAGGATCAGTGGCGTCCTGTAAAAGTTTTGTCTTGTTAGTTTTTGGTCTTTTAAGTATTTGTTTATGTAATAAAGCCTTTTTATGAGTTTTTACTTTTATACTTTCATTATCTAAAACTTTATCTTTATAGAATTTTGGATTTAACTTGTTTCTGACTTGCGTTGTATTTTTTCTGTAAACGTCAGTGTCAGGTATGTACGTTAGTGGTTCATGTCGATCTTTATTGTGATATCCTATTGTCTTTTCTTTCTGCGAGATTAGTTTCTCATTTAATTTTTTGTAAATTTCGGTTGTGGTTTCCCTATGTTCCTGAATGTAATTGTTAATTAATTTTTGATTAATGTCGATATCGAAAAAATCTTTGTAATCAAAATGACCATTTATAACGTCAATTGGTTTTTGTTTAGTCACCGAGTGTATAGAATTATTATATCCGAAAATAGCATAAGGCATATCATTTAAAATGTCAATTTTACCATTATTTTTTGCTTTAATAATTCTTAAATGTTCAATGATTGTTGAATGTAAACGCTCGATTGCGCCTTTTGACTGAGAACTATTGGGTGAAACATAATGACTTTTGATTTTATGAACGTCTAAAAATTCCTGAAGCATTGAGTTTTTTAATTCACTTCCATTGTCCATTATAATAAGATTAGGTGAACCATGATGTGTCATGAAAATTAAAAGACCTTTAATAATTTCTATCCCTGTCAATGCCGCAAGTGGGTATGCTTGCCCATATTTTGAAAAGGTATCAATTATTGTTAAGTATTTTTGCCCTTGTGCTGAGAATCCATCAATGTAAATAATTTCAAATGGTCTAGAAGGGGTAGGGGTTATCAATAACTTTTGTTTCGGAGGATTCCGATCATATTTTGTAGATTGACAAATTTCACAACGATTAATAAATTCGGCAACGTCATTTTTCTGACTTGGCCAATAGTATGTCTGTCTTATTCTTGTCTCTGTCTCCAGTATTCCACGATGGTTTGTTTTTCCTTCGTGAAAATTTCTAATTAGTTCGTGTTGTTCGTCTTTGTTCGTTACGTCGCTTAATAGAGTCTTACAATGAATTAATTTATAAGCAGAATTTTTGAAAGTTTCTCTCAAAACTTCCAATATTAGGGGTATATAATTTTCGTTTGCATTTTCGTTTTTAAAATATACTGCATGAGTAAATTTTGGATCGATATAATTTTTAAACAAGTTAATTGTGCTTTCTTTTATATTATTTATTGCAATTTGTACATGTAGTCGTTTTTTTGTTGGGAACAATTGTTCTATTTTTGGTTTAGCGGCAGAATGTAAGACAAAATCAATAAATATTTGGTGATCATATGAATTTATACATTTTTCAGAAATTTTCATTCCTAAAATAGGTTCTTCAATACTGGTATGATTAGTTTCGTCGTCATTGTCATTTTCATTGTTGTCATTAATTTCGTCATGCTCGTCAGTGTCTTTTTCGCGCTCTGACTGTTCGTCACCCATATTAGCTATTACCGAATAATTATCTTCGTCTTGTCTTTCATTTAATATTGATTCAATAAAATTTTCTATATAATAATCAGTTAATTCGTTCGTATTTATTTCTACTCGAGAGAGGGCATCGGCGTTAGTATTTGCTTTACCCTTTTTATACTCAATTTCGTAATCGAATTCTTCTAGTTTTAAGCGCCATCTAACTAGCTTCGAATTTGGTTCTTTTAGATTCATCAGCCACTTTAATGCTCGATGATCAGTTTGTATAGTGAACTTTCGACCCCACAGATACGGTCTAAAGATTTTTGTAGCCCAAACAATGGCTAATAATTCTTTCTCGATCGTACTGTAGTTTTGCTCAGACTCATTAAGAGTTCTCGAGGCATACGCAACGGGTTTATCTTTGCCAATAATACCTTGTGACAATATTGCACAGAGAGCAACATTGCTCGCATCAGTAGTTAAAATAAATTCTTTACTAAAATCGGGATATTGTAAAATTGGATCATTTATCAGCAGATTTTTGCACGTTTCAAAACATTTTATAAATTGGGGTGTATGTTCTATTTTTGCGTCCTTTTTGAGACACATTG